GCAGGGGTTGACTAGAAGGGAGGAAGGGGTCAGAAGAGAAAAACAAAGGAGTGGGGATGTGAAGATTGAGAGAGAGATGTTGGCCAAAAATTGAAAACAGCAGTGGAGTTCTAAACTTTTTTTTTCTCTTTTTTTTCCCTGCACCCCCCCCCCCCTCCTCTTTTTTTTAGAAAAAAGAGGGGGGTCGAAGGAAGATATGGTAGATGAGAGAGTAGAAAAAGAGTTGACGGGAGAGAGAATAGGTTAGCGTACCTGGTTAAGAAAAAGGATGGCAGGGAAGGAATTATATGCACCTTCCTTGGCAAGGCAATCTGCAATGGAATTTGCGGTCCTGGAGATGTGCTTGAAGGTGACTTGAAGGAGGTTGCTGCATAGAGAATGGATGTGGTCAAAGTAAGAGGTGAGTCTCCATGGGGGTGGTGCAGCCTTGGAAGCCCATTTGATCACGCTTAAAGAATCACAATCTACTTGAACAGCTGAAAAGTGTTCAACATTTAGTGCACATTTTTTTAGTCCTTCTAGTAATACCCTAGTTTCAGCGATAGTGGAATCAGTGACTCCCAAGGGGCTTGAGAAGTGGCAAAAGATGCTCTTTGAATTTGCAAGGGTGCCCCCATAGCCTGAGGGGCTACGATACCCATAGGATGAACCATCCGTATTTTGTTTGAGAGTGCCTTGTGGGGGCTTACTCCAAGAGGTTGAAAAACTAAGAACAAAAGATTGCAGATTGAGAAACCTCAACCAGCTGCCACAAAGAGATGAGGCTGGAAAACAGGAGATTAAGGGGGTAGGAGAAACCCAAAAAGAAAGAGGAGAGATTAAGGAATCTGAGATAAAAGGAAGAGATTTTAGCAATACCTCTAAAAGTTCTCGTATTTCTCCCCAATCAAATTGACCAAAACAAAATAGTGATAGAGATATGCCAAATTTTTGTGGCTTGTGGGGGAAAATGTGGCGAGAAGAAGACCCTGAGAATATCAAGGATGTTTTGAGGGGTTGCCTTACTTAAATCGAAATGTTAGTGAATATTGGAGAATAGGGCAGAAGTAAAGGGGCGATGGATGAAAAGTTGAGGAATATCTTCCTCGCTAAAAAGCCCTTTTCTGGATTTGGTCCAAGGTAAGGGTCTTACCTTGAGGATCTATAGGAAGGCCTGGACCTTGGGGGGGATGGGGACGGACCAGATTTTGTTGAGGAGAGGAGAAAGGTTTGAGTTAGGTAGAAGGCAAGCAATGAAGGATGCTACAGAAAAAACGACAGAGGGATTAGGGGTCCAAATTAAAGAATCCACTCTGGAAGGGGGTGGAGGATAAATGAGATTGAGAAGCTGAAGGAGTAATAATAACAGAGGTCATTCAGAGTCAAGTAAGTTCCTTTTGAAAATGGGAGTCCACGTAAGGGAGTTGCCTATACGGTCAACGTAGTGAGTGATAAGGGCATCTTGGTTAGAAGCAAGGAGGAACAGAGGTGGAAGGGTTGGTCTTGTAACCAGAGGTCTTTCCAAAATCTAATTATGAGACCATTACCAAAACTGAATCTAGTGTGGTTTAGGAAAAAAGATTTAGCAGAAGTGATAGACTTCCAAAGCTGTAGGGGCTCGAGAGATGGGGGAATGAGGAAACCATCCATTTTCTTCAAGACCATATTTAGTCTGGAAGATAGATTTCCAAAGGAAAGGGTGGGGGGACGTAAAACTCCACCACCATTTGCCAAGAAGGCAAAATTCATAAGCCTGAGTTTTTTGAATCCCAAACCACCAAATTTTATTGACAATAGATCTTATTCCAAGATACTAAATGGAACTTGAAGTCAGCAGAGGTGCCACACCAGAGAAAGTCTCTCATGAGTTTCTCCAAGCGATTAGCCACAGAAACAAGAATTTGGAAAATGGACATCTGGTAAATGGGGATGTTGGCAAGGGTGGCATTGATGAGAGCGATTCTATCTCCCAGAGATAAGAATTTCGCCTACCAATTGAACTTCTCAATAAGGTTGTCCCAAAGCCGTTTCGTGGGCTTCCCTAAACAAAGGGGAAGGCCCAAGTAGGTAGAGGGAAGAGGGTCAACTTTACAGCCTAGCTTGTGAGCAAGGACGGAAATCTTAGAATTAGAAATCTTGATACCTAACATTTTGATCTTAAAGAGGTTAACCTTCATACCAGTAGCTGATTCAAAGCATTTAAGGAAGTGCAAGAGACTATCAACCTGGGGGACCTCACCATCTAGGAAGACTAAAGTATCATCTGCATAGAGCAAGTGTGTGAGAATGGGTATGGTAGGTTATGTTTGGAGTCCCTTGAGAGTACCTAGCTCAAAAAGGCTAGAGATGGTTATGGTAAAGAGTTCCCCATAAAGGGTGTTGGATATGCACCCCACGATCCAAGATCTTCACTTAGTATCGAATCCCATGCAAAATTGAATCTTGTTTAGGAGGCTTTAGTCTGCACGGTCATAGGCTTTTTCCTAATCCAGCTTAATGACCAAACCCTTCTCTCCATAAAGGTATTTAGAATGGATGGCTTCATGAGCAGACAAAGCCCCATCTAGAATTTCCCTATTAGCAATGAAAGCAGATTGGGTATGGTCAATGACGAAGTGTAGGACAGGTTTCAGACGAGCAGCTAGGACTTTGGCTAGAATTTTATATGAAGAATTTAACAGACTTATAGGCTGGAAGTCTCTAAGCTTTTCTGCCTCTTTGATTTTGGAGATGAGAGAAAGGAAGGTACAATTGATGACAAAATTTATCCTACCTCTAAGGAAGAATTCAGTGAAGAAAGCCAAAAGATCGGGAGCTATAGCATCCAAAAAATCCTGGTAAATGGCTACCAGCAAACCATCTAGACCTGGGGTTTTGTCTCGCCCTAGGCTGAAAACAACCGACTTGATCTCTTTTACGGAGAAAGGTCTTTCAAGCGAGGTTACCCCCTGAGCAGAGAGAGTTCGAAAAGAGATGCTCCCTAAGAAAGGTTTCGGAGAGGAAGGAGAGGTGAAGAGATTTTTAAAGAATCTCACAAAGGGCTTATTATTCTGGAAGGGCTGGGAATAAGTACGAGATCGTACTGAGATTTGAGAGAAAGTGTTTCCTCTATGCCTGACACTGACAGTTTTGTGGAAGAAGGCTGTGTTACGGTTACCAACTTTAAGCCATTTGATTCTGGACCTCTGGTACTAGAAGGTTTCCTCTTGTTTGAGGAGGAGGAGAAGGTTTTACTTGGCAGAGGCCCTATCAACAAATTCCTTGGTGGAAAGAGGCTTGGATTCTTCAAGGGTATCAAGGGACTGAATGTGGGTCATACAAGCCACTATTTGATCCTTAAAGTTAACTGCTACCCCTTGTTTTAATTTTTTTTTAGAAAGTGCACTTACAAAGAAAAAACCATTTTGGACCAGAACTAGTTAGTTCTAGCTTGATAGATTTTGGTCGGTTTCTGACTGAATTGGCCAGTTTTGTCAGAGAATTGACCGGTTCAAGGGGGACCCTGCCGGTTCCCGATATATAGCTGGATCCGGCTTGCCGTCAATGATTCCCCATCCAGATCGTCGAATTTTCAAACCTTGGTAATTACTGATTACTATGTCAATTATAATATTAGTTAGTTTCATTTGATTTTATTGTATGTGTTACCATTTTTCATATAGATTCATACAAAGAAAAGAAACAAGCTTGAATCAAAGAGGCTAAATGACCTATTTTATGTGAAATTCTATTGATACTTGAAAGACAGATTTGCTAATAGAGATAAGAGAGGCCCTCATAGAACAAAACACATGGACAATGGCATGGAGTTGTTGGTTGATGATGATGAGGTCGAGGGGCATGAAGGATTGACGTTGGATATGGTCATGGAGGCCTCATGGACCGCAGCCGACCTTCCTAGGGCCACCAGATCATCTACATAGAGGACGAGGGTGGTGGAGGAAGCAAAGGCAGATTCAGAAGAAACAGAGGAGGATGATCATTATGTTGAGGAGAGAGATGATTTTGATGATGATGATGGGCTTGACATTGATGCTTACGATGCAGCTACCCTACTTTTTCTGATGATGTATATTTCTTTCATTTTTCTTTTCCTCCTCTTATTTGTATGTATGGAATATGCAGTATGGAGTGCATGTGGACTATGGGCTATGTGCTATTTCTTTCCTTTTCTTGATGATGAGTTGATGCCTGAATTTGAAAAGTTTGAATACTAGATTGTATTTTCATATTTTGCTTAATATGTTATAAACTAATTGTCCAAATCTCAAATACTTTGGACCTCACCTCAATTTGCATTTTTTTTACTGTGTATGGACTTATGGAGTATGAACTATGAACAAATGGTATTAAGTGTATGGGTTGTGGACTATGGATGGACTATATGTTATGCAATGTTAATGTGTTATACCCTCAATATGCATTTTTTTAATTTTCACACAGAATATAGACCTAAAACAATTGGATCAGACACCTCCTACCCTTCTTATTCTGCCTGGGCCGCCTAGGTGCTGGGCAGCTAGGACCCCCCCCTCAGCCACCTAGATGCTGCCCGGCGTTCTTTGGAACATTGGCTCTCAATACCTCTTTTGATATTTTGCCTTCATTACCTCTTTATTTTGTATGTGGAACATGTGTGTAGTTCGTGGGCTACATGGTGCATATGGCCTCAATGCTCGTTTACACTAAACATTTCCTTGGAGTGAAGCCGTCTCTTCATATGAAACTACTAAATAAATGACGATTCACTATTTAGGAATATCTGAACAGTTTATGAAGACTATAGAGCTTGCCTTTCATAATATCATTTAACGGCCTCTCTTCTTTTCATTGTTGGAGTTAGTAAAGTTTCAAATCTAAGTATCTCCACTTCTAGTGCGTGATGGTCACTCTTGTTTCATTTGAGCTCACGTTTGGAATTTTGTATATGTCATATGAAACTGAATTGTAAAGCATATCCTCATTTTGGTATGGTTTCCATTCCTTTATTTTATATTCACTCCAACCTTTGTATTTGCCAGGAAGGTAGAAGAAGAGCTCAGCAATGAACTTGAATTGCAAATTCAGGGAGCTGAAAAACCTTGCTTATGGAATCTCATAGTTGTTTGGTTCATTCTACTGCCATACACTCTTGGCAAGGTTTGTTGGACATCTGGAAAATGAAGAATACTTGAAATAGATATTCTTCTTTGAAATTTTTTGTTTTCTTATTTTCCTTTGCCGATGCTGATTGACCTCATGGCTTGAGTCCATTTGCATGACTTTATACTTGTACAGCACCCTATCCTGTTGATATCAACTATTTTGTTCTCTCAGCTAATATTTTGGAAGGGCTCTTGGATATGGAGATACACGATATACAAATCGGCTTACTCATGGGAGGATGCTTGTTACTTGACACAAAGATCCCTTAGAGTGCCTCAAGAGGCGTGGAGGACATTGGGTAAGCCTTCATGAATTGCTCTATGTGCTCTGATTTTTATAGTGGATATCACATAGCGACCATGTTCTTTTGTGATAGTCAACTGCTCGTTCCCTGGAAATAACAAAGTTATTGTGATGTATCTAATCAAGCTCATTGCGAAAAGGTTTCCTGATTGTGAACTGCTTGACCATTTTCATTTCTCTGGAGAAGAGGGATAGTGGTACTTTGACTTTTGCTTTTGTAATTCAAATGGAAATCTATAATAAGTGTTTGAAATCAACGAGACAGTTTTCGGTATGAGAATTCGAAATGAAGTGGATGCAGACATTTTGTGAAATTTATGCCAGTTTGTCTGATATTAATAAGCTGGATATGAGTTGTGACTAGTAGCTCTTCCAACCCATAGGTTCCATCTTCAAAATTTCCAACTTACCTACCTAAAAAGGATTAAACGGCCAAATTTTCTGAAATATTAGTTATTGTAATTACCCTGGATGTTAAATTTGATAATCAAGCGCTTTGTCGAGTATTATTATTTGGGAGAGTGGGATATTTGTTGTTGTGATATAGTTAATTTATACAATGGTTAGTTGTTGCTAATTTATTCAGTGGATGTGTATGCACCCTGCTCCTGAAGACATGGCTTTCTTAGTTGGGTTATTTCTCTTGGGAATCTGTCTCCAGCTTCCCAATCCATAGGAAGCCCTTCCTAACTCTGATAGATCCTTAACATTTTTATTAACAAAAAAGTTAGCTGTATCTGTGTGCGTGGATATGTGCTTGTGTGTTTGTGGGCAGGATGGTTGTCTGTGTGCTCACACCCATACACACCCACCCACACACGGTGATGTTTATATTGATTGTTTCTTTGTTCAAATTTTATTTGGATACGATGTTTTTCTTTCTTAGGTCAGTAAATATTTAATAATCGTTCCCTGGACTAAGATTGACTAAGATCTTTGAGAAAATCAATAATTAGACTTAAAATGCATCTGTATGAACCAAGTATGAGAATGTAAATAAGCTATAATAAGCCTTTTCATTCAGATTTTGTTTTGATAGGATGTCTCTTGGTTTGTGCTTTTTTTTCCTTGCCCAGGTCAGTTAATATTTAATAACTCCCCTGGAATAAAATTAAACTGAGATCTTTCAGAAAATCTATTACTAGACTTAAAAACATCTTATCTGAATGAAGAGAATGTAAATCGGCTAGTTATCAACCTGTACCATGGTCTTTCATACGTGATCTTTAGCATTCATGTTCTCTGAAGAGTTTGATTAGCTAAGTTACTCTAGAAATGTGATGGTTACTTTCTAGATTAGGTTGAATCTCTTTAATCTCATTGATGCAGAATATGTACCGTACAAAGTTTGCTGAACCATGATTCTAGTGAACCATTTTTGTAGACTTGTATCCAAATGTGAGTTTCTATCCCCTAGTAGGCATGAGAGTGCCATGATGAAGTCAATTTCGGAAGACATGTTACTGAAAATTTGTGGAGGGTTAGTAAACCTGTTTTTGTCATCCTTGAAAAGCCTCTATTTTTTTCCTTTTGGATAAGAGAATCATTTTTTTAAGTCGGTGCCAGGGTCCTGGGTTTTGTTCTGTAAGAGTTGAATTTTGTGACCACAGTTTTTGCTGCCGCATCATGTGTTGACACTCTCAACACTTGGACACTGTGACAATGCAGGTAGACACAGGGACATGCAGTCTGCCTCTGTGCTAACCACATTTAAAGTGTAATAAATATGAACTACTTATTGTATATACATAGAAAGCTTATTATTCGACACATGCCTCGGGACCCTGAGCCATTAATGGACTCGTCTAGCCCCCCTCTTTCTTCTCCCTTTCTTTATCCAATCGTCCCGTCGTCCGCTTCTCCTTCCCCCCTCGTCCTGGCTCCCTCCCCGACCACTCAGACTTTAGAAGCCGACCCTACCACCACTGCCCTTCCTGCGAACCCTGACCAGGAGCCCACTCTATCGAACCCGTACCCTTCTTTTTTCCTTAATCTCCTAGCCTATTTCAGCCCCTGGCACTGCTTCCCTCGCCCAGTACCCTATCCTCTACACCCCTTCTCTCTCTCACTTTCTTTCCTCTTCAACCTGCAGAGGAGGTAGAACCCTGCTCAGCCCCTCAAGCCTCCGGACCAGGATTCTCTTCCTTCTGGAATGGACAGACACTAGCTCCCTTATGGTATAGTGGCTGTACACTCCACGGACCCCTCTCCCCAGACTCAGCTTTAATCTCTTCTCTACTTGCCCCCCACCTCTCCTATACCCCTCACCTGGTTCACATTTGCAGGGTCCAAACCCTGCACTTTACCTATCCACCCCCTTTCATTGGCCTTACACCTCTTATGCATCCCCTCCAATCTCACCACTTCCTCACCTAATTTCAAGATTCCTATCAAAGACCCTCACCTAAGCTCTGCTTTCAAAGTACAAGTTCAAATTACCAGAACCAAACAAGTTGAAACTGCAACTGTTGCCACTCTTCATTATCAGATGGTATACAGACTGCAGAATCATGCTTTTGACATTGTTACACCTTTACCCCCTGAATGTGAAAATACTGCCTTGTTCATAAAAGTTGATAACAATTCCCAACCTGTTTGCCATTGCATCCCTAGACAAATTTCAAGGGAACGATTGTTTGAATTGATTCCCTCCTCTTGGGTTACAAATTATGAGAATTTACAAACCCAGAGTTAGGAGGTGATACAATCAGAATCTAGGATGACCCTAATGCCAGATGGAACTGTTCAAATAGATTTTCAGTCATCCAACGATAACTTCACTAGAGAGATTTCCCTACCCAATTCTAAGGATTTCTTGAAAAAGTCCTAGTAATTGCCTTTGATAAAACGGGAAATCCCATCTATGAGCAAAAAACTGTGGATGGACATAATTGGTTTGACTGTTGTGATTGTCCTACTTGCATTCAAGATGATGACAGCTTTGATGAGAAGAAAGAAAAGAAATTGTCTCAAAAGAAAAAGAAACTTTCTTCCAATCAAAAACTCCATCAGAGATATATGAAAGGGGATCCAACAGTTGGTTTACTTGGTGAACCTTATGGGAAATGGGATTACTATGTTACTTATGGCAATCGTATTCCTTACCCTTCTGGACCTATTATTCCGACTGGATGGGATGATAAACTTGATGTTGCTGAATGTATGGCTTTTGACCCCCAGGGATCTAGTTATGCTACTAATTTTCCTCCGTTGCATGATTATGAGAAAATCCAAGAACATGAAAAGCATGTGTGGAAAATAAAAAACCCTAGTACCAGAGATTCTTCAAGCATATTAAAGAATATTTCTCCAGCCGAAGCAAGCCTTAACTGGCAGGCCGAAAATGAAAAGTCACAGAACTTGGCCTTGCTCCGACTTGAAGAAAAACAAAATCTGATGTCTTCTCAGTTAAAAGGGTTAGTTAGCATAATTACTGATTTGAAAGAAAAGATGCAATCCTTGCATGAGGAGCTAATGCAGATTCTCCATTTTGTTAAAGACACAGTTACAATCATATTTGCTGGCACAGAAAGGAAGAGAAAAAGCATTTCTAAAAACACAGCTGCAAAGCTTGGAAAAAGATCTGTGGATGAAATCTCAGTACCCTCAAACTTCGTACCAGTCTTCTCCTAACCTGCCTCAACTTCAACCCTTGTCAGGTACTCCTTTTATCCCAAGTTACCCAACTTTGAGATATTCGGACCCTTTTCCTCCTACAAGAACAATTTACCCTCCTACTGGCTTAATACCTCCTAGGTATTATGGCTTTCAGTCTTTAAGTTCTTTAGATGATGAAAGACGTTTCCCAGAGGAATTGTTTTTTCCTCAACTTAGGAAATAAAGCGAATGTCTCTATCCCAAGTACTTGTAAGGCATCTGAACCTACACCTCTTGGTATAACTCAACAGCAACCTCAACCTACTCCTACGACACAACCCCCAACCGTTCCTAAAAATGATACTTAAATGCTTCAAGCATCAGATTCAGATTCTGATATTGTTGCGTCTTCTGTGTTCACACAAAACCTTACCCAGTCAGAACCTTTGCAAGACATGAGTTCATTCTTAAAAAACCTTACCAAACAACCTGAGTTAAAACTTCAAACAGAAACCCAATCCTCTGACTCTGTCTCAGAATCTTCTGATACAACGAGTTTTCTAGCCTCTTCTTCCTCTGTTTTTTCAGACCCTTTGTTCGTGATGGATCCCCCTGAACAACCTCCTGACCCTGACCCAGACCCACTTATAGCTAAAGAACCTAGACCTCAAGACCCTACCTATGGAGATTCATCTAAAGGTTTTACAATCGATGACATCCCTCCTTCAAAATGGACTGAGAGATTTTGAGAAATACAAGGATGGATGCATGCCGAAATGCTAAACCCTGCAAATAAATTAGCAAGCACAATTTCCAAAGATTTGGTAAGACTTCGGGGAAGATTGTTTGATTGGTATTTAAGTCTTGGAGTATACCGTCAAACACAATTGAGAAACAGTCAATCCATTGTCGAATTCTTGAATTATTTGGTAGCTGAATTTGTTGGCCCTGTAAAGCATGAACATATTACAGCCCGTGAAGATTTTTTTCAGCTGAAGTGTTGTTCTTTTAAGAGACATGATTTAGAAAAACACTTTTCTGAAATGAACAAGCGTTACCACAAAATTGGAGGAATTGATGATGTGAACTTAAAGCAATTTTATCTTGAGTCTATTCCTCCTACTCTTGGAAAAGAAGCAACAAAAACTATGGAAAATCAAGGATTGACAGTTCAAAATGTGTATTTTGGAGAAATTTATCAGTTTGTTCTCCATGCTTTGGAAAGGTTATGTAATCAGGTAGAATTTGTCAAACAGATGGAGAAAAATAAGCATCTTCTTGGCAAATCTTGTGATAAACCCCATCTCAAGATTAAGTGTGATTCGGAAAACTTTGTGCTTGTCCGCTTTTTGGAAAAAAGAAGAAGGTTGACCAAAAAAGGAAAAAGAAGAAATTCAA